TTTATTAAATCTGTACGATTTAATAAAATATGCACCCGTCTACAGTTTTTGATTCAAGAACTAGAACGTTTACACCACCYATATACCATACTTGWTATTTTATGAGAATCGGTATCAAGAAATATCGTACGTTTATACGATAGTGGTATATCCAGTATAAAAGATAAAATATTTCCCATAAGTGAAAATATACGTCTGAGAAAATCCGGTGCTATTTTAACGTGACGAGAAGAATTTAACAAAATGAATAACCACTTGACATTTTTCAACCGGATCAATACCGATGTGTACAAATTTGCGGCTCACAAAGTCGAGTGTGTAGCTAGTGGAGTTCAGCCGAAGGTGATAGTGGTACATATGTGAAAGTATTTTTGTATATGCTAGCGTTGTCGGCGATTGAACCAGCCATGTTTTTAGAAAAGTTTTTAAAATTAATAAAATAATGATAATAAAAATAATAAACACTAAACAATATAATAAGACTTGAAAAAATTATAAGCTAAGAACAAATTATAAGACTGATCGAAACGTAGAGGAGAATTACAAGTGTGTAAGACTGAGAACAGACTGAATGAATGTCGGCTCTTGCAGAGCCAAGTTTCTGTCGATGAGTCCATTAATGGTTGGGAGATACAATACTGAGTTATCTAAGAGTCTAACGTCCAAGCGATTAAGACATTTTATATCTATATTTTATATCGATTGGTCGCTAATGTGTTATTCACTAAGGGGGTTTTTAATTGTTGTTGTTCAGTATAGTATCTAAAAGGGACAAGAGTTCATAATGTGTACGCGATTATGACATTTTCACTAATAGATATATATTTTTTTAATTGTTGTTGTCGCGTATAGCTATGAGTCTAACATACAAGCGATTATGATATTTTTCAGTACTAACGACATTTAATTTTATTAGAATATCATCGGCCTATAATAAAATAACATAATATAATAATAAAATAACAAATAGTTTTTAACTAATAGGTATTTTTAATTGTTGTTGTTAAGTATAGTATCTAAGGGTTTATAGTTTACAATGTATACGTGATTAAGATATTTTAGTACTAATAATATTTAATTTTATTAGAATATCATCGGCTTATAATAATATATATAGAATATTATTAATTGTTTATTAAACGGTAGTATTTTTTAGGTATGATAGCATTTCGTGGGAAAGTTCAGATTGCATAGTATAAATTAGTCGCTAATGTGTTTTTCACTAATAGGTATTTTAAATTGTTGTTTGTAAGTATAATAATATATTAATATCTAAGAGGCTATAGGATAAAAAATGTAAGTGAATAAAATATAATATGTTAAACGGTGGTGGGTCTGGTGGAGGTAAATAATATAATAATATATGTATCGGTCACGTGATAATCGGGCGGCGGTGGTAAGATTGTAAGGATCGTAATATATGAATCGGTCACATGATGATCTGGCGGTGGTGGGGTAAAAATACATCGCGTACGTGTGTGATCGGGCGGCAGGTCGGGGAGGTCAGTGAGAGGGAAAATATACATCGCGTGTACTTGTGTGATCGGGCAGCGGTGGATGTGATAAGGTTGTAAGGATCGTAAAGATTGTAAGGATTGGCTCTAGAACTCTTTATTTCATACTATTTTCGTATATATATATATATATTAAATACATATTTTTAGAAAACTATTCTACTAAGGTCATATTTCGGAAAACTGTTTATACTTACAAGGTACAAGTAACAGTTATCATAGTTATTATTATTACAGTTATATAGACATAGATATAGCTCTTATTGTTTTATAATGTAAATTGAATTGACAAATTGAAATAATTAGTTAATTTATATATAATACGTAATAATATGTATATGTATAATGTATATAGTATTATAGTATAAGTCATATGTGGCTAATATGAAATATAATAAGAGTATAATACAGTATGAATAATATGCTATTTATAAATACCTATTTCAAATTTTTCAAACCCCCCCCCAATTTTTTTCCTGCGTTCGCTGTGCTGTTATAAGTTATCAGTTATTAATATTATCGTAACCTATTATATAATGTTGTCGGTGTATCGTCCGGTCTTGTCACTAGTAGGTTAGTAGATAGGTATAGATGATGGTAGATACCTTTATATAGTTAAAATGCGCGATGCRCAAACGACCAACTAAATGTCTTACCTGAAGTACTAATGATTTGCAAACGACAAACTCCGCCCGCGGATACATTAGCCCATTATTGGGTGTGGGGTGGTACGGTGGGGGTTATTTTTATATATTTGTTTAAAGATCTTTATACATATTATGCTGCTAAAAATCCCAGATGGTCACCCATCCAGAAACTAGCAACTGTGAACGGTGCATACGCTCAGTGCCTTCCGCGACCGCGCCTCACCAAGCTGGCAAGCTACACAATATTTTTTATTCATGATGGGTTAAACGGAATCAAAATGATTGATTAATACTTTTTGTTAAAAAATATTTATCTAGTCACTTACATGAATATGAGGATCGAATGCAGTTTAGCTTCCAATCGATTTTTTTTCACAATGTGTGTTTTTGCATATTTAATTTGATGGTACTTTCAAAAAAAGTCGGTCGAACTTAATTTATAAGGTATGAACAAAATACTTCAAAATTTTTTATTTTTCCAAAAATCGTATATTTAAGTTTAAAATACCAAAATTTCAAGTTTTTAGAAATTTATTTTCTGGTTTGTTAATATTTTTATGATCTACATACTCGTATATTGGCATAATTGCAGTTTAGCTCCCCCTCGCCATTTTGAATTTTTTTATCGAAACTTATGTAACTCATCGAGTTAAGAACGATGGTGCAATCAGAATTGGTCGCTCTCACTTAGTTTCGAAGTTATGGCCTTCCAAAGTTTTCGATTTTACGTTTATATACGTATATGCGTGCAACACTAGTCTATAATGCCGCGTGGAGGACCACCATTTTTGTTATTTTTTTGTACTACTAGAACTACTAGAATGCCGCGCATGGCTAGCTGGCAATTACCCTGTGACCAACTTGAGGTGGTGTTACACAGCAAGTCGGGGGATATTTTCGATTTGCGGAGCGGAGCGACGGCGCCGAGGAGCGTAGCGACGAGTGCCGCTAGCATGGCATCACTACACGATACTGACCGGTGTCGGTAGGCTGAAGGAGGTCCCTTGAGTTTGGTGACCGTAGCCGATAGACGATGGAAACTATATTATACTTGTGTTACTATAACTAACAAGGTTAAGTTTACTTGTTAGGTCATCCGTCTGCCCGCAGGGCAGGTATGCTCTCCCCCMCACAGGTTTGCTATTTCAGCCCCGGGGGGTTTGAGGACCTCGTGTTTAGCGACCGGAGCCGGTAGGCGAAGGGAGCTACTATATACACTTATTTATGTAATTGCGTAAAATTGAAAACTTTGGAAGGCCATAACTTCGAAACTAAGTGAGAGCGACCAATTCTGATAAAAAAAATTCAAAATGGCGAGGGGGAGSTAAACTGCAATTGTTCCTCTATATTTTATTTGAAATGAGAATCCACCTATCGTACTTACATTAATACGTAAATGTTTAAAATAACTTTATAATTCAGTTTTACGGGTTTATTAACAAAACAATAATGTAAAAAGTAACCAAGTAAGTACAATAGKTGAATACGAACATTCTCCAAAAAACAAAATTTCCACAAACTTGAAATTTTAGTATTTTAAACACAAAAACACGATTTTTGGAAAAATTAAAAATGTTGACTTTTTTTGTTCATAACTTCTAAACTAAGGTTGATCGACTTGTTTTGAAAGTGTCATCTAATTAAGCATGCAAGCACACACATTTTGAAATAAAAATCGCTTTGCAGCAAAACTGCAACTATGCCGAATATAGCTTTTAAGGAAGCAATATTTTAAAATCAATGGAGGTGATTAACAATTTTACTACACATATATACTCTGTAGATCACTGGCTACTTGCTRGCAAACTTTAGTGATTTCTTTATTAGATTACGAAATATTTTTAATAATCACGACACAAATAATGAAAACACCATTTTAATTGGAGAAATGAATATTGATAAAACAATGATTATTTAGACATATTGGCAGAACTAGGTTATAAATAATTTAGTAAAATATTTACTAGAGTACAAGCTATTCACTGAAGCGTTTCCCAACCTTTTTCCCTCGCGGCACCCTAATCCCAACCCATTATTTAGCCGCGGCACACTTGTCACTGACTTATATAATATGTATACATATTTTTTTTTATACCAGACTTTCATCATATTAAATATTGATACCGAAGTAGTTGTATATCAGTATAATATTACTAACAATCAGTTTAAAATGGTAAGATAGGAAGAAATATTATTATAATTATCNACTAACAATCAGTTTAAAATGGTAAGATAGGAAGAAATATTATTATAATTATCCTAAATATTTAATTCATTGAAATGTAAAAACAAGATACATTACAATCACACTAATCAGACAACAAACGACTAACTGACTAATATTTTTAATTATTTAATAAGAAATAGTGAACAATATCCCCGATAAGAGAATCGTTAAAACTATCTTAACCAATTACCGAAATTTTACATAAACGTTTATTAATAGTCGTGAAATTTCGCGGCACACCATTGCTATTGGTACTTGTATTCTTGTTAGGATTTAATTTTTAGAAATGCACATTTGGGAAAATTACCAGGAATTTACAGGTACCTCAACTGCTCTACCGCTCCTAATGGCGCTGAATGGCTGAATCGCTGAATGCACAGACCTTATTAATTATTATCTTTATTCTATAATGCAGGCACCCGCGTCATCKCGGTAAATTAATTAAACATACCGCGCGCTCTGGAGATTTCAAACCAAAACAGAAAAGTGTATGAAGTTGGCAACATTTATCTCAAACCTTCGTTGTCGTAACTCGTAGCCAACATCAAACAGTGTGACCCCTCGACCCGTTTCCGCCATCCGAAAACCAACCGCCAAAACCGACGTCTGTTGTTGTTCGTTTGTAATTTCGTATGCTGCATTGCTGCCTATTGTGCATCTGAAACCTGCAGAGCTATTCGTTTCCGTGATAGAGTAATAAACTACCTCGACCGGTGGACGGTGGTACGCTTTACGATAATAATAATACAATATTATATTTTTCGCCGTATGCATTGAGTACGACGTGTTGCATCCGTTTATACGATTTAGTGTTGTAGTTGTGATCCGGYGGTGGATGTGAAGTGAATATTGTTCGTCCGGTGACCGGCGGTGAAGGCGTTTGTGATTTGTGATACAATAATTTATCCCAGTACGATATAGTGCACCTACTCGACAGCGTCTAAGACGTGCTGAACAATAGGTACATCTGTTGCTGGCGCACTGTATAGCGTTGCACGCGTTGTTTCTCGGCAGTCCGTCTGGGTTTCTATATTGTAAGCACAACACTGAGTACATCGAGCCGGTAATAGCCGTACACAGAATCCGCTACAATGTCTGACAAACAGATCTATTATTCGGATAAATATTACGACGACAAATATGAATACAGGTTTGTACAATTTAGACGCTGGTATTGTTTTGTACTMTAATGGTAAGTCACTAAATCCGCATGTAGTATAAAAAAATGAACAAACATTTTAATTTCTCTATTGTCTATGAACGATACAATTTATTTTATTTTTAAAAACTCTGTTTTTATTTTCTTGTATTTGTTCCTGGAGCTATAACAATTAATGCATTTTAAGTACAATAGGCTATAAGTAGGTATTGCCATATTTTCTACAAAATGGYCTAGGTACCTCCTACCTATGAGTTAATAATAATTTATTTTCATTCTGATTCTGTGTCAAAAAAAGAATAGGATATAGGTAGGTATGCATTGGTTGACTATAGTTATTTGTGCATGTACTTTTACTGTATAGTTATATTATTTTATTTTTTTATAACTACATAGAGCAGGGATCTTAAACCTCTTAGGAAGTAAGCCATCTATTTTTGAAATATCTCGCCATCCGTAGGTACAGTAAAGTTATATAATAATAATAAAGAAAAAAGTTTAACTTATTATTATAAAAACATGCTATGCTTAAAATCTGTTCATATACTTCATGGGTTTCATTTWAAGACATGGTGGATTTAAGGCSCCTGATTTGGAAGATTCTTATAAACAAAATACTAACCTGTAAACTATAATTCAGTTTCTATTGAATCGTTTTAAAATACTTGGATACAAAATCATTTATCCAGTTGCCCAATTAAAATGCATTTTCCTAATACTTATATTTTATCTGCTGTTAAGTAGGTATTAAATAGGTGTTTTGAAAATATTTTATTTWATTTAATTTACTAGAAATGAGCTATTAGGTTAGGGTGACCATATGTCCTGTTTTGTACAGGATTGTCCTTAATTTCCGCATTGTGTCCTGACAAACTTTTCTCTTGACGCTTTTTGTCCACAAATTTCTGTCCCATATTTACCCAGTCTTTATTTACTGTAAATTTATAGTTTTTGAAATTTATTTTATAAAAAATTATATTTTTTTAACTATATTTTTGTACGACTTAATTGAATAGAATAATATAAGATTCTATACTTTTCAGTTATATATTGTATTTTTACATATTTGTTTTTTCACATTATTGTCGGCGACGTAAACCATATGTATAATAATGTATTAATTACTATATAATAATTATACCCGATTAAAAATCAAAAATAATAATAATAAATACTTATCATATTATTCTATATTAATGTCTTGTATTTTATGTTTTTAAATATGGCCATCCTATATTAAAAATATTATTTAATAGCGGTTCTAGAATATTGATACAAAAAGTAAAAAWGTAGGTATACATTTTTAAAACGTTTATGCGTTTGACTATAATTTTCAAATTTTAATATGTGGAAAACAGTCATGCTATTCATAATATTGTATCCTTCTCTAATAAACAAAATAATATAAGTTACTGACTATTAATTTTAAAAATAATCAACAAAAAATAAATATTTTTTAGTATTTATATCTTTTATGAGAGTTGTATCAAATATTTTTTTACATTGGAGATGAATAAAAAAAGTTTAAGAACCGCTGTAATATATCTGTATATATTTCATCATAAGACATATTGAAATATTCTATGAAATACTTATGGGTATAACACTACTACCAATATTTACCTACTACTTCACTTAAATTTACCATTTAAAATTTTTTAATTATTATTTACCAATTACACATTTATTTGCTTTAAGAGTAGGTGCYATATTAAAAGAAGTAAAATGTATGTTTGTCTCAAGCTTTAGCATTTTTTAACTAATTAGAGCATTACATTTTAGTGTAGATAATTTAAAAGAGATATTCCAATTTTAGAAAAAGTCACTAACTAGTATCTTCATAAAAATCATTATAGATAAATAAACCAAATTTTAATGTATGATAGGTACACCTTAACTAAATAGGTACATCTTTTAAAATATTTAATCACAAACAAAAGTTTATTCCTAAAATTAGTAGGTATATTTAAAAGTTATATTTATTTATTTTAACCTGATTAAAATTTAAAATGTTGATAGTATTATAGTATTATTTTAATAACGTAACATATTTTTAGACATGTGGTGTTGCCTAAAGAGATGGCAAAAAGTATACCAAAAACACATTTACTTTCTGAAGATGAATGGAGATCAATTGGAGTACAACAGAGCAAGGGATGGGTACATTATATGATCCATGAACCTGGTGAGTTTTTACATATTATTAATTTTAGGCAGCTGAATGCCCATAACATTATTTCCAAAGTCCATACTACTATTACAGTACTACTGCAAATTTTATATTATTTTAAACAAGAATAAATACTTTWTTTGGCTCTAATAATGCTCTCTTAAGAGGCACTACACTTGCATGTGTTGTCTCCGTCTTACAAGTGTGTAACATAGCAAATTTTACGCTTAGCAGATCACGTTTAGCTTTGTTAGTTTAAAATTTAGAGTGAGTTGATCTCTTATAAAAATTAAAGGTAACATTATAATGGATGGCTTCTYATAAGCTTTTTACTATATTTTAATTTTAAAGCGAGTTATGAGTATTTTAAGATATACAAACAATTTACAATTTAAAAATACTTATAATTCGCCGAGTAATTCGCTTTAAAATTAAAATATAATAAAAACCTTTGAGAAGCCATCCATTATAATGTTACTTTTAATTTTTATAAAAGATCAACTCACTCTAAATTTTAAACTAACGGAGTTAAATGTGATCTGCTGAGTGTAAAATTTGCTATGTTACGCACTTGTAAGATGGAGACWACACATGTAGGTGTAGCGTCCTCATAAGTGAGTTTACATGAGARCCTGAACATTAACAAATGCAATCAAACTAACCAATGCAAATGGTCTTGCCCAATACGAACAAATTCATTCGTTCGCATTTAGAAGCATTCACTTCAAAGGCAGTCTGATCAAAGCATTCAATATGCGGTCAAATACTTCTAGYAACATTAACTTGAATTTTTTTTGTGTTTGGGCTCTAATTAAAACTCATTTTTACATAACCTAACCTAACCAATTAATATTTTTGAAGGGTTAGGTTAGAAATCTGGACATTTTTCATGTACCATGCGTAATGTTATTGGTTTTTACTTTTTTTTTKATGTCAGTGGACTGGATAAAATTTTTCTACAGATTGCCATTTGGGTACTACTAGCCTAAGGTTTTAACTTTTTAAGTATGTTGAATCCTTTAAACATATACTTTTTTTCGTGGCGGTCTGTTATAATTTATTTAGTAATATTCATCTTACCACATTAACTGCCATGTGACCGTCAGCAATCACACTATATGTATAATCGACCCATTAAGAATATTTTTACACGTCATTCCAAATTTTTATATAGTATAATATACTACTGTATTTGAAAAAAAATCTTTTAATATATTGTTGTAGCATCATGGAAAAGTTAAAAATATAAAACCATATCCACTTATAGTCGCTGACAGTCATGTGGTGTAGTAGTTATGATTAATAGACACTGGTGGTTGCCAAAGTTTAAAATTTTAAATGTAATTTTTGTCTATTATTTTGGCACTTAAAAATGTTGCATAAAATAAAGTATAACTGCATTTGTCAGTATAAAGTATAGGTATGAAGTTTCATTAATTTTTGTTTAACCTTATTTATCTATCTGATATCTAATATGTTCTATCTAGATGGTTAAATTTAAATTTAAATTCTTAAGTTAATAAAATAAAATATTAAACAATCTTTTATTAGTATACGTAAAATGTAATATTTTTTTAAAGTACCAACTTATGTAAAATAATTTTAATATGAAAATATATTTCTCATAATTCCTTAAAAATGTAGAAACAAAATATATCGGTATTTGATAAGTGATTACTGATTACCTTTCTTTTTTTACTGGATTCTTATTGTTGATACTGAATAATTATTKTATTTTTTATTTTTACAGAACCTCACATCCTCTTATTCAAAAGACCACGAACCAACTGAACTTTCAACATACCTAAAAATGTTGAATGTCTTATTGAACAAAGCAAAGAATGTAGGGAATGGCAAATTTAGTTTCTAAGTATTATAATGTTCTGTTGTATATTTAAACCAATGAAAAATGTTGATTAATTTCGACTTTTTTCTGAGTAAATGTAATGTTTATTCACTCTGTTATGTTTCAATAATTGAATTTATTTTTTAAATGTAATCGTAAATATTTACTCTGTAAGTCTTGATTATGAAATATGTTTATTATTAATACATTTTTTTTAATCAACTACTATTCTAGGGTATTGTAAAAACAAAAAAAAAAAAAAAACATGAATAATACCTAATGTTTTGATTATTTTCATTGTACAATATAAAATATAACCACTTGTACTTTAAGTAATTTTTAAAAACTTAGATTTATTGAAAAATGTATGTATTTTAAAAATAAATCTAAAAATTAATTGATTAAAAATGCATACTTATTCTATCTATATTAGAATTAAAGGAAGTATCATATCTTAAACAATATTAGTACATATTTGTTAGTTGGAAACCCGTCTTGTGTCCAATTGTACTTCTTGTTGTAACTTTGGTGGCAATTCACGATAAATAGCCTCTGGTATATTATCTAAAATATTGTTAAAATTAATATGATAGCTGGTTTATTGAAAAGGTTTCGTGTGTTGCTTACCATTACAGCGATAAACCAGATCTGACCATATGATCATTTCTTGAGAGAAGCAAAACACCCCTAACCTACCACCTTTAAATGTGTAATCAAACACGTTTCCAGAATCTGTTACCATATTTTGACCTTCAAATATTCTCAATCTAATAAGACCAATTTTTGGACGATGCAATAGTATCCATCTRTAGGCCGTTTTACCTTTCCAACCAATGTTTCGTGGATCTTTCCACAATAGTTTCACCTATTTTTATTGTAGAACAACAATGCGARTAATTTTTATTTATTCTCTAYAAATAGTATTTTTATATTCTCGCCTGTTTGTCTGTGCTCTCCGTATTCCACAGGGCGTTTCTCAACATTTGTCCGGGTCCGGTTTCCGAATGTACTGCTTTGATCTGAATCCCAGGTTCAGCTACAGCTCTGAACGGTGTCGCTTGCCAGTATGTTTGCGTGCCTTTTTTCCACATCACTGTATAAAACTTATGATTGTCCTGGTAACTGAACACAAAGCCTACGTAATCGTCATCGATGTCGGTGTCCACGAAGAATGTACCTTCAAAGTCGACGCCACCGAACGAGTCGTAACCTAACAACGACATGGTATACATTATTCATTGTAATCTTTCGACACTGTCGAACAATATTACCTTGGTCGAATCATAAACTATGTACAATTATTTTGTAAGTATTAAATAAATGTGACTACAGCAGAGAAGCGTATTAATACTAACCTACTGCCAAACCGGGGTCGCTGTTCATAGTCTGTACGAATTCCGCCCCTCTGTTGTACACCACCCAGTTGGGATCGATTTGCGAATCGCCTTCCGGGTCCAGCACCACCGTCTGATATGTCCTAAAGTCTGTGGTGAATATCTTGGAGTTATTGGGACAGTTGTCCAAATGGTTTGGCACCTTGTCGTAATCGTTGTCGTCTTGACATATGTCCCCGACGCCGTTGCCTGTACACGGGGATGCGATTAACGCGAACCAAATAGGTTATTTGATTTTAATGATGGAACGTTTACAGGACAATAATGGTTACCGTTTACTGACCGTCGAAGTCGGCCTGGTCTGGGTTGTACACAAGCATGCAATTATCCTGCGCGTTTCCAATGCCATCGCCGTCAATGTCTGGATCGCACTCGTCGCCTTTGCCGTCGCCGTCGGTATCCAGCTGGTTGGAATTCGCTACTTTGGGACAGTTGTCTACGCTGTCTTGAATTCCGTCCCTGTAGTGCGAATCGTATTGATTATTATTGTTGTACACTATAATTATGTTTTCGGACTGTTTATCGATTTAGTTCAAACCATTACCATAACATTAGAAATATTATAATAAAATCACATCGCACAGCGTATATTATTAGGTATGTCTATATAGAACCTGTCAAATGTGCTAATATACCTATAGGTACCTAAACATTTAGTTTAAAATAACAAATTGATTTTGTCGAAAACTAATTTTGCGTACACATTTCAATTTTACCCGAATTTTTTTTGCCCAGTAATTCAAGTATTGGGAATTTCTTTACGTTTTATCCCATAAAGCACAAACTAGATACACTCATCTAAACTAGAAAAACTATTGAAGTCGAAGATTGAAGCATTTTTACTGCTCAATAAGGTAATGACAGACACAAAAATAAATTTAGGTACCTACCTATTTAAAAATAATCATAGTAAGATCAATACATTCATCGCTCTGTTTCATAAATCTAACATTTTTTTCTCTGGTCTGAGATAAAATTCCAGAGAGCCATGGTCGCATGGGAACTGAATATTGGGGTGCTGCGTAGTGCTGTAGTCGTAAACAAAGCGGAGAGTATACTTTATAAGTTATACCCTATAGGTAACCAATCACCATTAGGTGTTTTGGTATACATAAATAAAATACTTATTATGACCAAATAAAAATAAAAGTAAAACATTTATTTACTTACATTGTTGTACTAGGTATTTCTTTAATTTTTAATTAAATATTTTTTACTAATTACTTATATATAAATATACCAGAGGTGGTGAATATGAATACCAGAATACGTCCATGAGTGACATGAATATATACAATGATATCAAGAGCCAAAATGTCGAAAAATATATTTTATAATTTTTATAATTTTATCGTTAAAAGTAAATTTTGGTTGTTTTTTTTTAATAAGACGCTTAGACGTTAAGTTTTAAAATTTAAGTTTTTTGACTCATAATATTAATATTTTTTTGTATTTTATTTTGTCTTGTATGAACAATTTTTTATAATTTATAACTAATAAAATAAAAAATCCCAAAAGGAAATTTACATGGAATACATTTATTATGTGTGTGTGTGTAAATACAAATAATTCCAGTAGGTGGACATAATTGGTTGAATAGTTGGTGAGGGACGAGGGTGGCTAGCAAGTAGCATTACTCATAGTAAAGTGACCTGCAGAGTCTTGGCCGAAGGCCTTAGCAACCAATAKAACTAATTATTAGTATTTCTTTTTCTGTAAAACAATTTTAATTTGTAGAAGTTTCAAGACTTCCTCCCTTTAAATTTAAACATATGGCTGCACCTGAGATTCATTCCTGGAGCCGCCTATGTTAGTTATTAAAAAGTTTCCCTTCTCCCGTGGTTTGTAAATTAATGGATACAGTAAAATCACCAATAAAATGTATGATAATGCAGTTTCGAAGTGAGTATGACAGTATGTTATAACTTATAACTTATTAATAACTGATCGACATCGAAGGCCGCCAATCCGATGATGTACGTAATGTAGACAGACGACGAGTGTAGTTGCCGTCTACCACTACGTCCTACAACTAACCTACACTAACCTACAAATTGTAATAATCAGTTATTAATTATTATCTATATTATATTATTATGTAATATGTATATTATRTATGTATTATGTATTTATGTATCTATATAGTATAAGCGACTAAAATAAATTATAGAAAAGCGTAATACAGTATGAATAATATGATATTTATGAATACCTACTTTAAATTTTTCAACCCCCCCCCTCCCCCCGAATTTTTTTCCTGCGTTCGCCCCTGCTCTCACTACAGCATTGGTGCTGCGGCCCATTAGTCATTACCGTGGAGTGCGAAAATGTAATATTAACGGTAAAATACGATTGAGAACGTTATTTTTGGTAACACGATTGAGAACGCTCGATATTTTTGTTTTTTTTCAACGTTGCCAAATTTAATCGAATTAATTGAGCACGATAATCGGTTATCGATCGATTAAGAACTTTATATCTTTTTGRCAGAATGATTAATACAGCAGTTGATTTTTATAATATTTATCAGAAGTTTATCGGATTAACCGTATGTTATTTGTAACTCTGATACCAGATATACGAGAGAATTACTTATGAATAGGCGTTTTAGTCGTCGCACAAACGTCAACGAAGTATTCGTATTATAGTCGGTTAGGTTCATATTATTATAAATTTTATTTCATAATCATAAAAATTGACTGAGAAAATCTATACCAAATTTTATGTGTATGGACCATATGGCGTAACATGTTCATCGGATCACCTATTATATTATTATTTAATACCTATTATAGTATGTTATATTTTATGGCGTGTACCTGTCCCTGTCGATRTCGCTGTCGCAAGCATCGCCTATCAGGTCTTTGTCGGAATCTGTTTGCGTTGGGTTGTGCATACTTGGACAGTTGTCACAAACATCGCCAAGACCATCGCCGTCCGTGTCCCTTTGATCGGGATTCGCTTTTTTCGGACAGTTGTCTTCGTGGTTCAGTACGCCTGGAATGTTTGCAATGTTGTGTTAAAGTTTATTATAATTATTGTATTAACTTAAGATACCTATATCGAGGTTGTCATTGATTAATTGCATTTTTTTTTTTTGAATTTATTAAACTTACTCGTATCAATTACATTAAGTACTTACCGTCGTTGTCAATGTCCGCATCGCAAGCGTCTCCTATTCCGTCGTTGTCCGTGTCGTGCTGATCTAGATTCGGTATGGTCGGGCAATTGTCGCAAGCATCGCCTTTTTTGTCCGCGCCATCTTGATCGGAATCCATTTGGTCCGGGTTGGACACCAACGGACAGTTGTCCTGTGAAACAATCAGTATAGACAATAAATAACGACATCGGTTATACATTATTATAAATAAACCGGCAGCGTTTCTTATTGCAAGACAGAAATCATGCGGTAGTGTATAGCCAAGACGGCTGGATTATGAGGGGGGGGGGGTCTAGCCGGGGCAGAAACCTCGGAACCCTCTAGTGCCAAAGTGAAAGGGGCCCATACAATTTTAGACTGATACACATTTTTCTGTGATTTTAAAGAATAGTTTTTTTGGTATTTTTAAAAACCATTTTTGTTATCAATAAAAACTTAACTAAATGCCTACAAAAACTCTATTATGGTTGAAAAAACACATATTAATGTTATTTTCATTGATATCAAAGATATCGTCAATGTTTAATAATGTTATTTATAAATTAATACTCGGTAATATAGATAAATACTGTGAGTATTGGTTGAATACCTACCTACTGATGCTATACGTGAAATCACTCGCGCTCTAAATTKCTAATATTGTATATCTTATCTCGGCGCATGTAAGTTATTAATCATAACGACTTGCGGTGT